TCACACTGCATGGTGGACTGGAAGCCTTATCGTCAATTCCACAAATACTTTTTGAGCCCATACTATGTGCCAAGTTTATATTATAGCTACTTTCTATGTCCATCGCTCTCCCACTCCCTGGGCAGTCTTTTCTTTTTCTCAGAACTCCTTTTGGAACATAGCATGAAGCTTTGCACATAGCAGAGCTCAACTACTGTCTCATGGAACTGTAGTGTGAGGGCCACGCCCCTGGAGCCTGTCAGGGTCCGGCTTCTTTCTGCTGTGCTGTCTTTGGCTCTCACCTTCCTCTCCCCTACCCTGCTGCCATTTCCTAAACATCTAAACAGCTGGCACCAAATGGAGGGTGGACCATGCCAGCTTCTTTACCTAGTGCTTGTTGATTATCTCATGAATCCTCACTGTTTTTACAGATGAGCAGACAGAGGCCCCACAGAATTACTGCCAAGTGGTGGAGCCAGAATGTAAACCCAGGACCCCTGAATGCAAGGCCGCACATCTAACCTGAATGCGCCAGGCTGCTTCATGTCCTGAACAGGACGAGGGGGTGCATGCTGACCCTCTGTCTAATGCCCCTTGCACCCCCTCACCCCACCCCAGACCGTTTAGTCAACACCGACCCTGTGCCGGGTGTTAGTATATGTGATCTAATTTGAGTCTAACTATTATTATTTTCTTTGTTACAGTTGAGAAGCCGAGACACGGGCAGAAGAACCTGCTGTGGTGACATAGCAAGTTCTCACCAAGTCTATTTCTAGAGCTTGCTCCACGGCCACACAGCCCCTCCACTGTGCTGCACTTACACCTCAAGTTATAGGGCTGGCAGGGTCAAGGCCGACACCTCAGGGACCTTTAGGAGGATGGTCTCCTAAAGGAAGCAAGTTGCATGCTGCTCACTGCTCTGGTCTGTTCTTTCCCCTAAATGAGTGTGGATTCGAGCAACCCATGCTGAATGAGACAAGAGCAAGTGTAATATCAACAGGGTTTTAGACAAGTATATTGCTTTTTTGAACGAGCACTGGGCTTCAGCGTGTGATAATCCGGAGGTAGGTCACACCTGGTGGCAAAGCTCTGAGTTTGTGGTTTACGAAGAGAGGAGACTGATGAGACGCATGAGAAATGTTACATGGAAAGGTCAAGATTCTGAAAGCTGAACTAGAGAAGAAGCAGAAGAATGGTTTGATGCAGGGTTTCCAGAGCTGCCAGGAAGAAGTTCATTAATGGTTAAACCAAGAAAGGCTTGGAAGTTATTTGGGGAGGTTGTGGGGAAGTGGGGAGGAGGGAGGCGCTTTGCTCAAGCAGATGAAAGAGATAGGGCAGTACTGGGCAGAATCTCGGGAGGAGAAAAGCCACTGCCTTGGGGGCAGCAAAACACAACTGCCCTATGGGACCCCTGAGGAGACCAGACAGGCCAGTGGAGACCAAGGAATGTAGGGTGATGGCTGAAAACCATCTTTCAGCCAATCTGTTATAAGCTGTTTGAAGAGTCATCCCCTGTTCAAAACAGATGGTCCACCTCAACCTGGCTCCCCTGTGGGGCTCATACCTCAGGCAGGTAGGAGTCAAGGAGTCAAATGTGCGTCTCTCTTCCCCAGCAGCGTCACATCGTCACATCGGTGACTCCACATGGATCATGGGGGGAACATGTCAGAATGGGCGTGTCTGGGCTCACCCTTGCCCTCACCAGCACAGCAGTCTAGACCTGTGATCTATTTAGGAGGTACCACAGCCTAGTCTACTTAATGGTTCTGTTCAACAAGTATTGATTTGTCACGTGCTCTGTCCAAGCTGTGTAAGACTTGGGACAAATCAATGACTAAAACAGACCCAGACCCCGCCTGCCCACATGGAGTTAATGATCTAGTGGGGGAAGCAAAGACCATGCTAACGTAATCAATTTGATGGTAACTGATACCACCAAAGAGGAAATCAGATCGCTGCTGTCAGCTCTGCAACTCTATTCTCCAGCATTTTTAATGGAGATGGAATGCATGGGGCCCAGGACAGAGGCCCTCTGCTCATGACTCCAACTCACCATTTCCTATCCGTAACAGGTCACTTCTTCAGTGCCTGGCGGGCCACTTTCGGAGTTCTCAGAGAGGTTTTCAGCCCTAGCAGAGCAATCTCAGCAAAGCCAACCTCCTCCCCCACTTGCACCTGGCCAAGCCTAGCTCCCAGCCACTCTCCTGCTCCCCAGGACATTGTGGTTTCCATGGGAACCCACTCACTTCAAAGGGGAGCAAAGGAGACTGGAGGGGAGGAGGGAGCAGGAAACTGGATTCACCTCCCTCTCTTGGCCTTTCTTGGTGCTGCTGGCAACCTAACCCCAGAGAGCACCAGCACCATCCCAAGTTGTGCAGAGATGCAGCGGGGTGGTCCAAGCTAAATCCTAACTTCTTGGGGAAAAAAATCCCATGGGTTGAGGTAGGGCTGGCGAAGGAGAGAACTAAAATGGGCCCTCCTCAGATCCCCTCTCAGCTTCGCTCCTGGGCCACAAACACAATTACCCGCCCTGTGCATCCAGTCCTGGGGTCTGCTTGGGTGAGACCGAAGTCATTAATCTGAGCAGGAGCTCCTGGTTGCCTGGCTGATTAGCCCAGATGATGCGCTGGTATGATCCAATTAAAGACAGACTCTGCCTCCCCTCTTTCCCTCCCCTCCACAACTCCCTCTCTCTCCCCCTCCACACCCCATGTCAGAAGGAGCCAATATATTTCATTAACACATCTTCACACACAAATACAACTCAGGGGCACTGGCAGACTCCCTGGCTCACAGACACACCCTTGTGTCCCAGGGCCCCGGTCTGTGACAGCCCCCTGCGGGGGGCTGGTCAGGGATGGGGCTCCCCTACCCTTCCTTCATCTGTGATTCTGGGAGGGGCCCGGTGGGGGCCCCTAAAAGTCAGTGCTGGGCACTAATCTGAATCGAAAGGGTCTTGTTACATTTACTAACATGAAGTGCTGACTCCCTGGTGTGCTTTGGAGCAGCCGGGCAGCCCCAGGCAGGCAAATCTAATTAAAATTACCCGACCCTACAGGAGCCTGAGCTCCTTCTCTGGATGTCCGGGCAATGGCTGCAGAGAGGGCGGCTGCTGGTACTAATGGGAGAGGCGTGGCCGTGGGAGAGAACCCTGGGGCTGCGGGGCAGCAGGAAGAACTGACCACGGAGGGGAGTGGCCGGGCACAGGTGCCGATGCCAGCTTGGTCGTCCTGAGATGCCCGGCAGCCATGTTTGGCTGAGCAGTTGGTGGGATCCGACCTGAGGTTTCTTTATAGATCATTTGGGCGAACTCCAAGGGCTGTGAGCTGGCCAGCCAGGTGGGAGAAGGAAAAGCTCAGGTGTGAAGGGGAGCAGGAAGAAGTGTAGGGTGACGGAAAGGTTTTACACTTCAAGGAACATCCTGAGGGACAGCTCCCACAGGACCACGCAGCTCTGGTCACTGGCCATTTCTGGAACATTCCAGACTCTACTCTGCCTGGAAAGCTCTACCCCAACTCATTTCTTCCCCTGGTGAAGTCTTGTACTCAGACTTCAAGCTGCAACTCCAGTAATGCCCCATCTGTGAGGCCTTGTCTGTCACTCTGCAAGTTTCTTGTCTGCATAGCTAAGCACAGGCCTCCCTGGGTTTGCCCCCTTCTCCTGGAGTCCAGCACAACGCCTCCACATGTTCACAGGGAGGGCTCAGGAGGAGTGGAGGAGGGTGCTCCGTCACCCTGACCACGTCCGGGGTGGGCTTTGGGGCCTCAGCAGAGCGTGCTGTCTGCAGCTGGCCTGGCGTGTGCACTGGCCAGGTGGAGCTGAGCCCTTTCCACCAGGGCTGAGAAGGCCCCTCATGGCAGGATCTGTGGACCAGGCCTCACTCCCTGGACTCCCAAATGTTGGCATGAGAGGTACTCAACTCATCAGAGTAACTAAAAACCATGCCAATGATAGTGATAATAACAGCAGTAATTATCACCATCAGCATAAAGGCACTGTCTCTGACGGGAGGGAAGAAGGACTCTGTCTTCCTACTTAGCCCAGACAACCTGTTCTCATGACAGTGGCATTAGCACCTGGTATTCAGCCACAGGTGAGCCGTGCTCACTGCGCTTGTGAACATGAGCCTCCCGCCTCAATACTGAGTGCTGACCCAGGAGCCTCTCCTCAGTGGTGTAGCTCCCAGAGGGTACATGACTAAAGTCCCACCAGAGCCGCATTCAGGCCTGTTCTTAGATGACTGGCTGCCTCTTCTCCCAGGCTGTACACAGAAAGCAACTTCTCTGAGGGCCCCTGGCAAAGCTCAGGATCCAGCCGGGGGTGCGTGGGCCCATGCAGGGCAGACACGCGGCTGGCTCTCAGGCAGCTCCTGCTCTGGGAAAGGGCACCGGAGCTCACAGGCTGCATTCAATACCTGCTGTGTCCAAACACAGCCCACCTTGACTCAGAGCGTAGTCCAAGGACCAGTGGTTTTAGCTCCTCCTGGAATGCCTTTAAATAATTCATCATTCTCTTCCTACAGCCTGAACATCGGAGGTAGCATTTCTGAGCAGAGTTCAGAAGCAATTCTTTTACCACGCTGATCCAGTGACTTTCAGACATACTATATTTGCATAATATCAAATCCTAGATGGTGCGAGCAGATGTCCAGTGCTCTGGCAGGAATGCTGGGGTGAAGGCTACCATGGGGACAGGGCAAGGACAGAGTCTACCAGCCTAGCCTCTTTGTGGAGCGGAGGACTTCTGAAGCTCATAGGGTTCAACCCCCCGCCTAGGGTGAGGAAGGGGTCCTTCTGGGAGACATTGCCCAGACCTTTGTAGCCCTCACTAGAAACCTCCAGGAAGTCAGAACCAACCCACAGTGGTGCCTGAGGATTGCTGGGTTGGCTTAGGAGAGAAGGAGCTGAGCGAGAAGCTGCCGGCTGCCCACTTCCAGGAGCACACCCACTGGCCTGCATTCTCGTTTCTGAGCTGGGTCTGAAGCTGCTTGGGTGTCCAGAGCAGGCCACCCTGTCTCCTACCTGTACACAGCTCGCTTGTCGGACTCCAGCTGGGCCTGAGGGTCAATGGGGGCACTGGGCACAGGTGTGCTGGCCGCAGCTGAGGGTGCGGAGATGTGGACTGACTGGGCCTTCGAGGGTGCCTGAGCGGTTGCCGTCATCTGCAGAGAAGAGAGGGGGTGGAGGGTTAGTGCTGCCAGGACAGCTGGTTCCCAGTTGGAGTTGTGGGGCTTCCTTGGCCTGCTGTGTGTGTGGCTAAGAAAATGTGTGCGAGAGCATTGGGAGTGATAACAAGTACCTATTTGTATATGTGCTAGAGAGGGAAGAGAACAGACATTTCTCCACATGAAAAAGGTCTAGAGAGACAACTTGGGGCCCTCTAAAACCTAAGGGTGCACCAGCACACTTTCAAAGAGATGATCCTTCATGCAAATTAAGGTGGTGACTTTTGCTTAGAAGCAGAAAGAAACAAAATGACGAATGCTTTAAATTGTGTTTATGAGTCACTTGAGCTGTACTAGACAGTAATACATCAGATATGACTTGGATGAGCAGAAAAAATGTGAATTGGCTTTTGCTTCAGCAGGGGTTTATTCCCTTCGAGGCAAGCTAAAGGTAACTGTTTTAGTGGACAATTGCATGGTTCTCCACATTTGGTTTTCCTGGGCACTCAGAGTTCAACAGTTTTCAGCAGGTAATGGCAGACTACTAGTCTGAGTCATGACAAATACTTTTGGACAATGGTTTTCATTCCATGTTATATGTTTCGAAAGTGTTCTCAGGACCTTCATTTTGTGTCTGGGCAATGCCTTTGCATACTATATGTAGGACTTTCTGCATAAAGTTTCCCTTAAAGAAACAGTTGAGTGACTTTGAAATTTTTCATAACCTTCACCCCCACATTTAATGCTTTTATATCATATCTTCTTTGACTTGAATGGTGACATTCCTCAACTGTTCCCTCTCCCAGCCTGCCCATGGAACCACGTCAGTTTCAGTCACCTATGTTGGGGACCTGCTTCTTTGTCTACATGTTACACGAAAGCCTGGTTCATACCTTCATCCTTTGCATGCAACTGGCTGAGTCGGCGCCTAGTATTTGTTGGGAAGATGAATGAGTGAATACATGAATGACTGTACTTTGAAAGAGAGGGATATTTCACAGCTGCAAGTTTATTGTATGACGGAAGTCCCTGCTTTCTGGGAGAAACACACCTGCACATAAAGACATCATTGCTGGCACTGATGTCCCCAAGATACCTGCTACTTCATTTGTCCCCCCTCTGCTCAGATGTCACCTCTTTGGGGTAAAACAAAATCCCTTGCCAGTCTCTGTCTTATTTCCTAGCCCAAACCGTGACCCAAAACTATCTATCTACTTGCTTATTTTCTCCCCCCACCTCCAACTAAAAAATTTTTTTTCAAAGATTTATTTATTTGTGCATACAGAACTGGGGTACAGGCCAGAGGCTCAGGGGAGGCGAGAGGCTTCACCAGAGACAGAGTGGGGAGCAGAACAGGCAGATCAATGAAGCACACTGCCGAGGGGAGCAGCGGGCGGGCCAGGAGAATTCTGCCGCACCATGTGGATCACCTCTGGGGCAGGCGGGAACCAAACTCATTCAGAAGTGGCTTGTTTGTTAGTGCTGTGCTTTAATGCGCTGCGCCACCAGGGAGGGCCCCCAACTAAAATTTAAGCTCAGAGAGAACTCGGAGCAAACTCCTTAGCTTCCCTAAGCCCCTGTTTGCTCATCAGCAAGCAAACTGGTGGCCTTTTAAGATTCAAGAGTATCAAAGAGGTGTTATAAGCAGCAACAGAGAAACAAATATTGCTGTAATTTTCAAACCAGAGAGAAAAGATAGACTCAGAAAAACGAAATAATGCTAATATTTGTATTGATCTGGGCTTGTTTCTTTCCTTCACTAATGCAACTGGTCATGTCTTCGGATACTTCTCAAGTCCCTGCCATCTAGCTGGACCTGAGCTGGGCTTTTTGTGCAAGGCCAGTGTGCTGGCGGTTGTCAGGGCGAGTGCCTGCTATGATGGAGCTCATTTTCTGGATTGAACATGATTACTAAGCTGGTCAACAAGGAAAACAGGAGACATGGATGGTACAAGTGAGTTCAGCATGTACCTGCCACGGTTCCCTCATGGTAAACACAAAGACATGACAGTTGCATGGATTATAAATTACGTCCAAAGAGTGACAATTACAGGGTAGATGCAGGTCGAGGAAGACTTCTAGGAGAAGGTCAATACTTTGTCTTTTGCCCTCTTCTTCAATACTTTGATCAGTGATTCAGAGGATGTCTAAAGAAATGCTCGACAAATTTATGGGTGACACGGAACTGGGATCCAAGAGATCTTTAGAGATTTTGGCAATAGGCTAAGTCTAATAAGATTAATTTTCATCAGATAAGTTGGAGTCTAACACATGGGCCAAGAAAAAAAATCAATAATATAAGTGCAGTACAGAGAAGACATAGCTCAGCAGCAGTGTTTTAGTTGACAGCAGGCTCAATATGTCCAATATGTAATGTGTCTGTTGAAAAAACAAACAAACAAAAACAACATAAACTTAACGCTATTGAGGATGCATTCAGAGAAGCAGAGCACACACAAAGCTTCTGGTCCCATCCCACCTTCCTGAGACAGGTGCAGGGAAGTACATTCAGAGGAGGTGAGCTGGCTAGTAGAGGGGTGCCACATAAGTCGGATGAGGAATATTGGGAAGAATATGGAAATAGGGTCCTCCTGGCGGTGCAGCGGGTTAAAGCACAGCGCTAAGAAGCTAAAGCCACTTCAAGCATGAGTTCGATTCCCGCCTGCCCCAGAGGTGACCACATGGCGCGGCAGACCTCTCCTGGCCCGCCCGCTGCTCCCTTCAGGAGTGTACTTCGTCGATCTGCCTATTCTGCTCCCCACTCTGTCTCTGGTGAATGAATCCTCTCACCACCCCTGAGCCTCTGGCCTGTACCCCAGTTCTGTATGTATAAATAAATAAATCTTAAAAAAAATATATTGGAAATAAGAAAGATTTGAGGAATGAGGAGAAACACATGCACCCCTCCTTTGAGAATCTGTGGGATGGAATAAATTATATCAGTTGTGTTCTGAAAGTCCCAAAGGGCCAAACTTCAAGCAGTGTGTTAAATCTGTAGAACATGCAGCCAGCTTTGGGTTTGACCCAGCTAATAAGGTTTCCACATTGCTGAGCTCTCTAAGGCTAGAACAGGGCCCTCAAAAAAGTGGTGAATCTTTACTGTTGCAGAACCAACAGATCCGCTGGGCCTGGTGGAGGGGATGGAAGCTCTCGCTGGACGGCTGGGTTAGGTGACGTGGGAAGCCCCTTCCAAAGTGACAGGCTCACAGGCATTGCTTTAATAACCACCATTCACCCCACAGCGCTGGCATGAGTTAGATCAGAGGATTCATGGTATGAAAGAGAGCTTTAGAGACTCAAAAGTGCCTCCCAGATGGAGAGGTGGTTGTTGCCATTCAACATGAGTTCCAGAATGTTTCTTTCATAAAGCAAGGCACAGCTATGTTTGCACGGCTTGCTCATGGGTGAGAGAGCAGGCAGGCTGCTGAGCTCTGCTCTGCTCACCGAGAGTGAGTTTCCTTGTGTCCTGGAAGGAATCCACAAGGGGCTTCTAATCAGATGAGCTTCTAGGGTGGAGGGGAGACGCTCCTTCTTCTCACCTTCCCCTTTCTAGGCAGGAGGTTGGGGAGAGGTGAGGTGCAGAGGGGGTGGGGTCTGAGGAATCCTGCTAGATTAAAGAGGAAAGCACGGAATAAAAATATACATCAATAAGCGGTCACTGGCCAGAATCCCAAGAGGTCCCAGTTGAGAGGCTGTTACCGCGGCTAAGGAACATCGATTTGTGAGCCAATTCAGCCAACTTGGCATTTCCTCCAGATGAGTGTTTATCTGCAGAGATATGTTTCTTTTCTAGCCAAAGACCTCGACTTCCTAAGAACTGGAACACAAACAAGAGGCCTCAGGGCTGTCTGCAGGGTCTGGGGGTCAGGGGTGAGGCTGAGGGACCCAGGAAGCCATGGTCCCTGAGTGACATGCTGAAGCTGCCTTGTTCCTGCCTGTGAAAAGCAACTGCTAGCCTTCCAGGCATTTTGCAAGCTAGTTGGCATCACACTGGTAGCTAGAAGTTGGCCGTGGCAGGAGCAGGGACAACATGGAAATCGGTACTGCTGCAAATCAGGGCCTGCCCCGACCTCACTGGACAGCCGGGTTAGCCTACTAGCACACCGCCACGCCAGGACTGCTCTCCACGCAACTTCCTCCTGTTCCCCTTGAGCTGGCAAGTGGAGAAACTAGCCTTCCACGCTCTGAGGCCACTCGATGCGTCCAAGCTAGTCCCAGAACTGGCTGCTCCAGACTTGGAGTCTCCTTCCAAGGAGACTTCAGAGCATCTGGAAATCCCACCTAGACAGTGATCTGGGACAGGGTCTGCTCCTCTCGATAGGGGGAACTGGGGCACGGGGTTAGATGGCAGGGCGGGGGGGGGGGGAAGGAGGCAAAGCTGAAAAAGGTCTTGAGGCTTCCCTGTCAATTGCCAGTATACATTCGGGGGCATGTTTTCTAACCTCCTGATCCCCAGTTTACTTATCTTAAAAAGCAGGGGACAATATCTATTCACAGGCTGTGGGAGGAATGAAGAGAACAGGATTAGGGCTGCTGGAAGGGCGGAAGGCAGCATTTCCAGAGGGCCTGCCCATTCTGATCTATATCCACATCGAACTGAAGGGCCTGTTTCCCGCTAAGCCTGGGTTCTCTTTTCTGGGTAACAACCTTGGGGTCACTGCAGCAAACTTGTCTTCCATAGATGTAGTAACCAGTGGACTTTGCTCTATCATCCAGCTGGAAGAGAAGTCTGTGATAGGTTCGTGGCTAATAGACCCACCCAGATTCTGGGTCTGTGACCCCTGGAGATGAAAGTCCCTGACCTCCCATCCTAAAGTGGAGAGAAAAGGGCTCTACTTTCAGAACCTGGCGGGCTGCAAGTACCAGCTGCCCTGACCAGCGAGGCTGACCTGAAGGGCAGAGATACTCCACGTTGGCTGCAGAACTGCTGGGAGCACATCTTAATCTGCCTCCATAGCCGTCGTGGTACAGATATAGTGAGGACTGCCATCACTGGA